ATGGGGGTGAATGATGGTGAAAGTTTTTCTTTTTTCGGGCCACCTGCCTTGGTGGGAATCGGCGGTGTGATAATAAAAAAAATAAAAATATTATTTATTTATTTATTATCACACTGGCTAATTCCCACCAAGGCAGGGTGGCCCGAAAAAGAAAAACTTTCACCATCATTCACTCCATCACTGTCTTGCCAGAAGGGTGCTTTACACTACAGTTTTTAAACTGCAACATTAACACCCCTCCTTCATTATTATTATATTATTATAATCAAAAAGAAGCGCTAAGCTACAAGGGCTATACAGCAAGTGTGATGTTAAATGTTCATTTATACATTTTATTAGTGCTTTATATTTGTCATTCTTTTCTGCATATAAATCTATATTTAAGCTAAAAAAAAATTTTTTTTGTTAATACTTCTATGTGTCTGAAACGGATTAATTGGATTTACATTATTTCTTATGAGGAAAATGGTTTCAGTTTTCGCTGATCTCTCTGGAATGGATTAATGACGAAAAGGGAGGGTCCACTGTAGTAGTATGTCATTGATGTCAGCTAGGGCTGTATACCTTATACTTGTAGAAATAAAGATAATTATTATTTTTTTTTTTTTTTTTTTTTTTTTTTCAACAAGTCGGCCGTCTCCCACCGAGGCAGGGTGACCCAAAAAAGAAAGAAAATCCCCAAAAAGAAAATACTTTCATCATCATTCAACACTTTCACCACACTCGCACATTATCACTGTTTTTGCAGAGGTGCTCAGAATACAACAGTCTAGAAGCATAAACATATAAAGATACACAACATATCCCTCCAAACTGCCAATATCCCAAACCCCTCCTTTAAAGTGCAGGCATTGTACTTCCCATTTCCAGGACTCAAGTCCGACTATATGAAAATAACCGGTTTCCCTGAATCCTTCACTAAATATTACCCTGCTCACACTCCAACAGATCGTCAGGTCCCAAGTACCATTCGTCTCCATTCACTCCTATCTAACACGCTCACGCACGCTTGCTGGAAGTCCAAGCCCCTTACCCACAAAACCTCCTTTACCCCCTCTCTCCAACCCTTTCGAGGACGCCCCCTACCCCGCCTTCCTTCCCCTATAGATTTATATGCTTTCCATGTCATTCTACTGTGATCCATTCTCTCTAAATGACCAAACCACCTCACAACCCCTCTTCTGCCCTCTGACTAATACTTTTATTAACTCCACACCTTCTCCTAATTTCCACACTCCGAATTTTCTGCATAATATTTACACCACACATTGCCCTTAAACAGGACATCCCCCGCTGCCTCCAACCGTCTCCTCGCTGCTGCATTTACCACCCAAGCTTCACACCCATATAAGAGTTGTTGGTACTACTATACTTTCATACATTCCCTTCTTTGCCTCCATAGATAACGTTTTTGACTCCACATATACCTCAACGCACCACTCACCTTTTTTCCCTCATCAATTCTATGATTAACCTCATCCTTCATAAATCCATCCGCCGACACGTCAACCCCCAAGTATCTAAAAACATTCATTTCTTCCATACTCCTCCTCCCCAATTTGATTCCCAATTTTTTTTATCTAAATCTTTTGCACCTCATCACCTTACTTTTTTTTCTATTTTCCTTTAAACTTTCTACCTTTAACACTTCCCAAACCATCCACAACCCTTTTGAAATTTTTTTTCTTTAGAATCCCATAGCACAGTATATCAGCAAAAATAACTGTGAAATTCCCATTTTAAATTTTTGATTCCCTAATTTAATCCCACCCCTCCCAAACCCCTAGCTTTACTTCCTTTCAAACCCATCTAAAATATATTAAACAACCATGGTGACTTACACCCCCCTGTCTAAGCCTACTTTTACGGGAAAGTAGTCCCCCTCCTTTACACACCCACCTGAGCCCACTATCCCATAAAAACCTTTACAGCATTTAATAACTTACCCACCTATTCCATTATACTTGCAAATCCCCCACTTTGCTCCCTTCACTTATCATTGCCTTTTCAAATCCATAAATGCATAAAAATTTCCCTTCTTTATCTAAAACTTTTCCAAAGCTTCAAAAAAACACCGATCTACAATCCCCTACCCACCTAAAACCCCCTTGCTCCCGCAATCCTACATTCTGCTTACCTCTAATTTTTTTCATTATAACCCTCCCGTACATTTTCCCCTGGTATACTCATAAGCTTTTCCTCTTAATTTTTCAGTCTTTTTTGCCCCTTTTTCCCTTTATAAAAGGGGGATTCATGCTCTCGCCAACCCCTAGGTCCCTTCCCCCTCTTTCATACATTTATTAAAACAAAAGTCCCAAACCCACTCCAACACTATACCCCCCCCTGCTTTTAAATTATTATTATTATTAAAAAAAATGAATGCAGAATTGTAGAGCTCAAAATTTTCGGGGAGGGTCACTGTAAATTTTACAATGACCATGAAATTCTCAGAATATTATTGTAAAAGTTATTTATCCAAAAATAGTTGGTTGACCAAATGGTAAAAGGGATTTTGAAATGTATATTTTTTCTTTAAAATTTATACTTTAATAACCTTTAGTCCCCTGCACAAAACCTTTCTGTTTTGGGTTCCATTGTTCAGGGTTTGATGCAGTGCGGCCCCCATAGTATGATGCGTGAGCGGTAAATTTGGGCCTGACGTGAAAAAAATGGGTCTGTATGGAAAAGCGCGCCCCCATGAAAAAAATCCTCCCGGGGTGCAGGCATGAGAAAAAAAATTGCGGAATGTTTTTGGTTTAAAAAAAGACTTTGGGTGTATTTTTGTATGGTTTTTATGGTTGTTTTCTGGGTTTCTTGGTCCATTGGAAGAATGAAAAAATTAAAGAAAACAGAGATAATTTTGTTGTTTTCATACACATGAACAGTTACCTGTGGGAATTTTTTTTTAATCTGATTTTCTTTCATAAATCAAGAAACATTTATTTTTCACCCAAAGGCCAGTAGCAGGGGGGCCTTTTTTGCCTTTATTTTTAGAATGTGTATCCATGGAAGATACATGCAAAACTTATTGTTTAATCAAAACCAAGTGCTAAAACCCCTTTAAGGGTCTACAGACTTGGGTCTGAGACCCGAAGGTGAAGGAGATAAAGAGGTAGAGTTTGGAAGGGGGTTTTTAAAAAGCTATTGCTGACAAAAAAAAAAAATCAAAAGAGAAGGTGTGTCAAAGGGGGGGCGTCGCATAGGTTTCTGACAATAAAATTTTTAAAAAACAAATTGAATTTATTTGTATCCCTTTTGTAGTCTTACAGTGACATTAAACTGTGACACCTATGGTGATCTTTACGTAATACAGTTAACTAGTCTTATTAGCTTTTTCTCTTATTTCAATGTTTTTTGCCCTTAAAGAAAATATGGATTTTGTCTTTCCTACACCCCCCCCCCCCCCCAAAAAAAAAAAAAAAAAAAGTAGAGTACTCTAGCCCTTCCCCTAGGAAAAAATCACTAAAATTTACCACCAAAATTAAAGTGGCTCACCGTTGGTGGCCTAGTTTGTAGGATTTTTTTAATTATCGATTATTTCCCACGAGGAAGAGCGGCCTGAAGAAAGAAAAACACCACCAATTGCTCTCCAGTTACACTTCAAGAAGGGCACAATGATTTTCTATGAAAATATTCTTTGTGAAATATTTTAAACCCTTAAACGGTCCAAACGTATATATACGTTCTTACGCATAGCGCCCCAATCGTATTACCTTCAAATTTGGCACGATGGCCCGAGATGCCTCGTCAGCATAGAATGGGTCCTAACACTCAGTGTGCGCGGTATTAAAAAAATCTGGGACCACTTAGTACCTTGTGGGAGTGCCAGTTAAATCGAGTGCCAGCTAGAGCAAACAGTGCAGCAAACACTGACGTAATGTCATATTAACACTCCTCTTTTAAAAGGAAAGCGATGTTAACCCCAAGTTTAGGGTCTGTCTATCTCTTTATCTCTGTCTCTATCTGTCTTTGTTTGTCTCTGTATCTCTTTCAATCTCTCTTTCTATCTGTCTGTCTATCTCTGTCTCACAGGTACATATAAATACAAGTATACATAGTGTAAATTACCTAGGATAACCCAAAAAATCCAGACAAAGTGCTATACTCTGCTTGAAGATGTGAGTAAATGTGATGATGATGCAGTCTTGTAGCTCTCTCCGAGACAGAGAGAGAGACAGATATGTTTATGTACCAGCGAAAACAAAGTGAGGGGATGCTCATCAAATATCACCTCTAATCTTTTCTTAGCTGCACCCTCCCCCACCCTCCTGTATGCTCATCAAATGTCAGCTCTTATCAGTTATCTCATCTTATCATGTCACTGTCAGGGGTGGACTTTGTTTTTCATGCTTCAAGGGAAATTATTATTATCTATTATTTTTATTTTATTTATTATCACACTGGCCGATTCCCACCAAGGCAGGGTGGCCCGAAAAAGAAAAACTTTCACCATCATTCACTCCATCACTGTCTTGCCAGAAGGGTACTTTACACTACAGTTTTTAAACTGCAACATTAACACCCCTCCTTCAGAGTGCAGGCATTGTACTTCCCATCTCCAGGACTCAAGTCCGGCCTGCCGGTTTCCCTGAACCCCTTCATAAATGTTACTTTGCTTACACTCCAACAGCACGTCAAGTATTAAAAACCATTTGTCTCCATTCACTCCTATCAAACACGCTCACGCATGCCTGCTGGAAGTCCAAGCCCCTCACACACAAAACCTCCTTTACCCCCTCCCTCCATTATTATTATTATTACATATTATTCTTCTCCTCTTCCTCTTCCTCCTCCTCCATCTCCTCCTCCTCCTCTTCCTCCTCATTGTTATTATATACTTCCACATATCCAAAACATTGCTGGGACATATAAATACTTTGTACTAGTAAATGGCTAAGGCAGGTGTAACTGTCCACCTGTCAGTGTGTTTGTGACAATTTGAGTACAATTTCAGTACCTAATACTAGTGTCAGAACAAAGATTGGTTATAAAATGACAAGAACTACTACAAATTGTAATTATCAGAACATAAAAATTACATAAAATAATATGAAAAATAGAAAAAAAGGTATATCGGCAACACCTCTGCAAGCAGCAGGACTCGATGTTGCTGTCACATGAGCATCCAGTGCCAACTTCTTGGCCTCATATCTCAGTAAGTACTGACCCTAAAAAAAATTTTTTTATTCTAAAATACTTAAAAAAATGTGCTCTTTTTTTTCTTTAGAAAAAAAAAAAAAAAAAAAAAAAAAATCAAAATATTCAGGGTGCTGTGCGAGTGAACGTATATATACATTTGGATCCCTTAAGGGTTAATCAAAATGTGGTGAAAGCACTGTATAGTTCTATGGCAACTCTTTTATTATTTTACATGAAATTTTGATTTTTAGTGTAATTTGCAATTAGCAAGACTGTTTGAAAAACATGCCTACATCCTTCAGGTCTGTAGTGTCATGGTACTGACATTCACAATACCAGTGAGGAAAGTTACATTTGGTAGCATCTTTAAGAAAATTTAATTAATAAGCTCCAAAAAAAAAAAAAAAGTATGTATTATTTGTTTATCTTATTTATAAGTTACAACTGAAAATTTTAAAACTTTTATTCAAAGTTATGCTGGTATAATGATCAGGTTTTTTTTTTTTTTTTAGTTTAGACATCAAAGTTTTTTAATATATTTTTTATCTATCATATGCAGACAATTTCTATGTATACTTCACTTACATAGAAAGCTAATTACCTTCAGAAAATATATTTCTAACCAACTGAATAGATCAAACACTGAAAAACGAGTATTTTTCACACCCTAACACATTTAAGAAAGCTATGAATCTGAAGCCGGATTTCTTTGTATAATTTTCAAGTCGGCATATAAAGGTTAGTACAATTTCTATGGATAATATTGAGCAGTTGAACTACCAGTCACAACCAGAGTAAAAAACAGGTGTCTTATCACAGATGATAAAGGTATTTTTAAAAATGATAGACAAATCCTAAAAATTTAAGTTGTAGTAAAGATTATGAAAAAATTGTAATCTTATATTACAATGAAAAAATTCACATGCACACACACACAACCCATGCATACAGTATACAGTGGAGCTTCTATTATCTGCCACTAAACTAATTGCAAATCTCAAGCATTCTTACATTATTGTGATGATAACTTGTATCATTTATGGGCAGGAGTGTATGAGAGTGCTCATGACTATTATCAGCAGGTGTGTACATATTGCACAGGTTTCTTTCTGACAACTTTAGTACTCAAACCACTGCCTTACAGAGCAAATGTACCCTTTAATTTGTCACATTTATATTAGCAATTTTCTTTTTTATCATAAAACACCCTGCTCCTGCCTCCACCAAACCACCACCTGTCATGTACGGTAAAGTTACACCTCAATTCAAACATTCTCACGACCATTGACAAACTAAAATAATGTGTTAGTATTTTTACTTATATTATTTTTAATGTAATAATGTAAAAAATTATTCTTCATATATGTTAATATCATCTGTTCTATGCTACATGGGTCTTTTTTGGGGGGTAGCTGTGGCTATGTGCAAAAATTAACTAAAAGTATCTGCATATGGCCAGGAATGAACATAGTCAAATAGTAGAGGTTCCACTGTGTATCTATATTTATATATTTATATACAGTATATATCCAGTCTCATAATTAAAGATTATCAATGTAAAAAAAATTAAGAGGATTTACTGTACAAAGATTGTGACTGATAAAACAACATTCTTTAAAGAAATGCCATGATATTTGTAAGACATATACAATATAAAATTCCTTACATTTCACATATAAATAATAAGTTCCCACATTTATCTAAGAACCACAAGAATGTAAATGTGATTTGCTAATGTTGTATTCTGCAATGATGTTTTGTATGAGGAACCAATACCATAACTTTATTTTAGAAAAATATTTTAAGAGATTACAGGTATATTTCTTAAGATTTATGTTCTCAAGTAAGATCTTTCAAATTTGTTTTTCTAAATACAGTATGTTCAAAACAATTGAGCTTTTTGACTACTATTTAGGTTATAAAAAGATTGCAATGTACTGTATTTGCAATGAAAATTTGCATCAGAAAACATAATTTTTAAAGTGTTTTACTCAATGCAAACTTATATTACCTCCATACTGTATAAGAAGTTCATAAGATCTTATTACAATTAAGTACTCTAACTTGCATAATGTAGAAACTGACTGTAGTTCTCTGTCCACATCTGCCTACCTGATCACATCAGTATTATAAACAGCAACTTTTAATCACTGTCTAGGTGTGCCAGAATCCTAAGCTGAATAGATTATGTATAATCTTGAGTAACAATGGTTTGTACTACTGGTCTGTAGCTGTAAAAACTGGCTTACACTTGTACTCAAAGTTAGTCATTATACCATAATACAAAACCCACTAGTCAATGGAGTAATTCAGCTATACATATTATCATTGAGAAATGTACACATAAATACTTATTGAATGTACAAACAGGAAAGTGACACTATATACATTAAATTTCATGTTCAGACAAGACGCTCATAAAAAAGCAAATATGCTTGGGCTTTCAGCACTCGTTCAATATTAACTTCGGCAACATAAGTGTCAGAAACGTGAAACCATCTACCAGCTTTCACTTCTTCTTCAAATTCCTGAAAATATAAATACATAGCATAAAATTAATTTAGCAAGAACTTGGAAAATACATTTTAAATCTTACTGTGTGGACTAGACTAACAATTACAATATTACTTTTAAACATACTTAACCCCTGAAAAAGCCATAGAGTCAATCAACATGTCCTGTTACTGATAAAATGTAAGCTCGTGTGTGTTAAACAACTTCGGATTTATGCGAGTAAAAAAAATCTTTCACGAAACCATCTTAACTCACTGTATATTGTACTTAGCACCAACCATATCTTCTAAAATAACCACCATAATACAAATTAACTATAAATTTATATAATACATTATCAAGCTGAAATACCCAAAATATACAAAATGGATGTCGGCCTAAACAAAGTTCGTTTTTGCTTACACAAAATCTAGACTACAGGTAAAGGAAGGAAGCAAGCAGTAGGGAGGTATGTATTCACAGGCTGATAATTTGTGTGTTTCAATTCAGACTATAGGCTGGTTCGTTGGTGGTAGAAGGAAGATTATTATTATTATTATAATAATCAAAGAAAATGCTAAACCGACAAGGGTCATATAGCTCTGCAGGGTAGCAATTAGTGCAGGGGTTATAAACAGCAAGGTGGAGAGGGGATCAGAAGTGAGGGAAGAAAAGGGTTGGAAGGGATGCTAAGGGCTATGTGTCAAAGTTTGTATAATAAGGCAGTTACTGTCAAAAAGTGAAAAAGGGATTGGGAGTCAAAGGAGGGGTTGTCTGCAAGTAGAGATGATAAAGTAAGAGTGGTAGGGCAGCAGCGTCGTTTGAGGTAAATCCTGTGACCACCGTTGTTGCCAACGGCTGCAGAGACGGGCTGAGATGACTGGAAAATAGTCCCTGAACGGAATACCTCTATGAGAAACTGGAAGATCATGCACCGCTGACCGCACAGCAGCATCTGCTTGCTCATTAACCTGCACACCAATGTGTCCATGGACCCAGCAGAAAACAGCATCTTTATTTTTGCTAGTCACATGGCACAACCATTGCTAAATATGAAGGACTAATGGATGAGAGTAATCAAATTGTTCAATGGCTTGTAAAGCACTGAGGGAGTCCAAAATGATCACAAACGTCGAAGGAGACATGTATGTAATGTGAAGAAGTGCTATGAGGATAGCATACAACTTAGCAGTAAAAATACTAGCTGAGTCTAACAAGTGGCCTCGGACAACTTCATCAGGGAATACTGCTGCCAACCCAACACCATCAGAAGATTTAGAACCATCTGTATAAACAGCAATGGGATGAGCATGTGACTGGAGTACTTGAGAAAAAGAGAGTGAGTAGCAGGCGTAGGTAAGAAAGCTTTGGCGCATGGTAATGGGGGAGCACAGACATGAACTGCTGGAACTTCCCAAGGGGATAGGGAAAAGGCAGACGCTAAATGAACGTACAAGGGGGGCAACTGGAGAGAAGACCGGAGTGAGTGAAGACAAAGAGAAAATGGTTGCAGTAGGCAGGGGCATTGAACAAACAGTGGGTTCACTACTAATGTCTGAGATTAACCTATACGTAGAAGGAACACGAAGATCATGAGCGCAGACAAAACAATGAAGACAATGAGCATCATGACGATCAGCTAAGGAAGTAACATTCGCCTCTGCATAGAGGCTTTCAACAGGGGATGAACAAAAGACACCAAGGCGTAAACAGAGACCTTGATGATGAATGGGATCTAACTTAGAAAGAGTTGTGGGAGAGGCCGCAAAATAGACTTGGTCACCGCAATCCAGCTTGGACAAGACTAGAGTGGAATGTTAATGGAGGAGAGTGCGATGATCTGCTCCCCAGGAACGATGCGCAAGAACTTTAAGGAGATTCAGCCGACCGTGGCAAGTTGCCTTTAAAGAAGAAATGTGAGGTCTCCATGTCAACCGGCGATCAAAGAGCAGGCCAAGGAACTTGACCGTATCACATTCTGGAATACGTGAACTGTGTAAGTACAATAGAGTATCTGGGATAAGCAGACATCTAATGAAGGTAATGAAATGGGTTTTCGTGCTAGAAAATTTAAAGCCATGAGGAGTGGTCCAGTGGGAAATTCGGTCAATCACATCCTGAACGGAGGCTGCTACTAGGTGACAGTCAGCGCCTGAGTAAGTTATAACGAAGTCATCCACATAAAATGATGACCAAATATGCGAAGGAAGAACGGAAGGTAGGTCATTTATAGCTAAGAGAAAAAGGGTAGTGCTAAGGACACAACCTTGTGGGACTCCCTCATCTTGTACAAAGTCTGAGGAAAGTGAGGCGCCAACACTGACCCAAAAATGTCTGTCGGATAAGAAAGCAACAAGGAGGTTTGGTAGATTACTGCGGAGGCCTAAGGAGTGGGCTTGGGCAAGAATATTATACCTCCAAGTGGTGTCATATGCCTTCTCTAGATCAAAAAAGACCACGTATCTAAGTGGAGCAACCTTTGATATACCTTTGAAGAATTTCGAGAGTATATCTACTCTCTGAGCCCGGTCTAAAGTAGAGCGACCCTTGTGAAAGCCATATTGGCGAGGGGAAAGACTATTGTGAGTCTCCAAGAACCACATCAGATGCCTATTCACCAATTGTTCCATCGCCTTGAAGACTACACTTGTCAGGGCAATGCGACGATAGTGGGAGGTATCAAGCCCCTAGTTGCCCAGTTTGTGAAACGGTAGTACAATAGCAGATTTCCATTGTTAAGGGAGAACCCCTTGATCCCAAATAAAAGGCATAAAAGAACTGGAAGGGCCGTAGAATGGAGATGACGTAGCATACCGATATGGATATCATCAGGTCCTGTTGGCGACGGCCAGGAAATGGAAAGCGTGGACTCTAATTCTAGGAGAGTAAAAGGCACTTTATATGGCTCCATTCCATCAGAGGAGAAATCTAAGGGCAATTGCTCCTTGGCAGGCTTAGTCGCAAGAAATGAGGGACACAGGAGATACGGACAAGATAGTTCCCGATTTCCGTGGCAAATTCTAGAGGTTTTGCGACATTAACTCCATTATTATTATTATAATCAAGGGGGAAGCGCTAAACCCGGAGGATTATACAGCGCCTGGGGGGGGGGGGATATGTGGAAGGCATTCAGGCTTAATTCGGGGAACTGGAGCACAGATCCAATTCCCTAAATCAAGAGCCCCTCACCAACATCAAGGAACCTTCCTTGAGGGGACATTAACTCCAGCAACCTGCAAAACGAGAGCTGGGTCCAGAGTGTACTTGCCACACAACTTCCACACCTTTTTCCAAATTGCACCCATAGGGGAAGATGAAGTAATGGTAGACATGTAGTCTTGCCAACAGGTGCATTTAGCGTCATGTATGCCGCGGCGAGCAACTGCCCTTGCCCGCTTAAAATCCAACAGATGCTCCAAGGTATGATTATATCAATAATGGCCCCACACTACAATTTTCAAATTCACTGCATTGGCACATGCAGGAGACCACCAAGGTATGCATGTCTGAGAATGCCTACCTGAGGTTTGCGGGATAAAACGTACCCAGTCAAAAATTGGTGTGCCAGTTCATCAATAGAGGACGAAAGGAGGTCCTCACAACAGGTAGTAAGATGAGAGTATAAGTCCCAATTCACCCATACAAATTGCCATTGAGGGCTACAAAGCGGTCGGGCATATGTAGCAGAAGTAAGAAGAACAGGAATATGATCACTGTTATGTAAGTCTGGAAGAACAGACTAAGCAAATTCAAGTGCAAGTGATGAGGAACAGTTAGAAAGATCAATGCAGGAGAGAGACTGAGTGTGAGAGTCAAAATGGGTGGGAGTACCCGTATTTAAAACATGAAGATAATGAGAAGCGAGCAGTCTCCAACTGATCACCACGAGAGTCACAGTGGGACTCTCCCCACAGATGATGGCGAGTGTTAAAATCACCCAACAACAAGATGGGCAGCGATAGACAAGAAATTAAAAAAGCAATATCTGAGATACAAAATGCACGGGAGGGAGAAAGTTATAGAGAGCAAACTGTATACCACCTGTGTAAATAAATACGAGTTGCAGTATAATGCAGCAGAAAACAAACAAAAACTTGTTGATACGGTATATCAATGTGCACAAGAAGCGTGCTTTCATTAAATGATTGGCCAGGAAAAGGATTGGAAGAACGTAACAGCATATAGCCCAAGACGGGACGAATGATAGCATAACGAATTTTGGGTCCTTGTAACCTAGCACATACTGGGGACAACTGGGAGAGCAACACTTGGAGTTCTCCTTGATTACCCCTAAGGCCATTAATATTCCATTGTAAAATAGACATTATGTACAGAAACAAAAATGGCAACAATAAGAAATGATAAAACCTATGGGCTTTTAGGATCAGTAAAGTCAGTGTGTGGGAGTAACAGTAAGCATGTAAGCAAAGAGGAATCAGAATCCTGCAAAGGAAAAGACTGTTGCGAGGACCATGAAAAAGAAGGGGTAGGAGGCGCGTTGGTGTCCATCAAGGGTGTCGTCTCCGCAATATAGTGTCTAACGTCTCAGCGGTTAAGAAAGCTGACGATACCATGATGTCAGAGACAGGAGAGGTAGAGCAAGTAGAGTTCGGAGTAACTATGGAGGCAACCAAAGAAGTCTGAGGGGGGCGAGGAGTATGAACCTGGAGAGATGCGTTGGCATGGGCAGAAGAGTCCTGCAGTGTAACAGGAGAGGAAGGAGGGTGGAAGGCAACTATTGAAGAAAATGGGGGGAGGGCCTTTGTGGTGGGGAACAGTAGAGGGGACTACATGAGGGGGGAACAGGAGAAGAGGGAACTACACGAGGGGGGTGAACCTCCACCTTTGTGTGAATGTTGGAAAGGGGGTGTGAACTAGGCCCCGAGGTAGAAGATAGATTGAACTTTACAGGTGATAGATGTGAAGTGTAGGTCTGCGAGGTCTCGTAGACTGAGAAGCGAGTGAGCGAGATGGAGGAGGAGGAGGAGGAGGAGGTGCAGAGGTAGGAGTTTCAGAGGATAAAACCGCAAAAGAA